TGTGTGCTCATCCACATGTTTCACTACAGGTGTGTGCTCATCCACATGTTTCACTACAGGTGTGTGCTCATCCACATGTTTCACTACAGGTGTGTGCTCATCCACATGTTTCACTACAGGTGTTTGCTCATTTATGCCTTTTACTAAAGGTGTACTCATTACTATGACAGGCATTTGCAGAAATCCCAGGCAACCCAGCAGGAGGCAATTAAGACGTGAATAAATCCCGATAAGGTCATTAATATGGACCATGCAGGAGAGGCTGCACCTCAGCTCTGCACAGAGCCAACATTATAATACATAACTTCTCGGCACAGGAGAGCTGGGCGTAATATTAATGTTGGTGTGTTCAGGAGGCACGTGGCTGTATGGATGATGCACAGGATGCCGTGTTTGTAAATGAGGATGGACCTAAACAACTCTGGTTTGAAAGGCAGGACCACTGGTGAGCCCAGCAATTAGTGCAAATAAACTATATGCACTACACCACATGACTGTCCCAGAATGTATCAAATTAATGTAAATGCAATTAAAGTAATTCAAAGAATTGCATAGTTAATCATTTACCAGTGAAAAGAGTATGAAACATTGTATGTTTATTTCTTATACCTGTATAGAACAATAAATCCTCAACACAGATTTATCTTAAGTATCTAAACCTGAAGTTATTATACACACTGCAAACATATCGGCAAGGTCAACCTATGGATGTAAGATGAAGTTTGTTAGTTTTAATATGTGAGGGTGTTTAACTGGAGAAGCCATAACATTATCCAGCATTCTTCAAGCAGGATCAAAAAAGTCTTCTTTCTTTTTTTTTTCTTTCTTTCTTTCTTTCTTTCTTTCTTTCTTTCTTTCTTTCTTTCTTTCTTTCTTATTTATCTGGCTTATCTGGCCTATCTATCTAATCCATCCATCTAGCCTATCTATCTCAGTGAAATCTAACTGCCCTAATATCCCCAAGGGAGCTTGCTCTCTAGGAGCCATTCAGGGATAATATGGGAATGTTATCAGTCAGATTCAATAACAATTAAAATAATGCCAAGAACAGTGGCAAAAATAAGGCATAAAATTGTTTGTTATTTGTTACATTATCACCTGATATTTTTGATGGATCTTTGATTTGAATTTTTTTTTTTTTTACAGTGACCCGGATTCACAGCTGGAACAAAGGAACAAGTATGGATTACATGTAATGTCATCTACAGGGTGCCGTCAGGGACATAAATCACCATCGATTGCCCTGCCTCGGAGCCGCAAGCGTGCGCACGTGTGAATCGAAGTTTCTCCCTTGTAAAGGAAACGCGCAGATGCATAGCATGCGATATAGACCGTGCCAGAGCTGCAGCTGATGTGCTGATGCCCGTTTAGTCATGCTGCTGTTTATTCCCTGGCATATGTACAGGTCGGGCACTTTGGCAAGCACAGATGCGTCAGAGGTTCCTCATGAGTGGTTCACGGCGCTCTGTGTGTCATGTCGCATTGTCTGCGCCGCACCCACGTGCAGAATCACCTGCTAGCATCCTCTTCCCCACTTGCATTTCCTGTTGCCTCAAAGTGTTACTGGATTAATTGGTGCCCCCCTCCCCCACTTCTGGGTTTTGTTTAAATATTTATTTTATTGCTATGTGTTCCGATTAAAACAACACACTGCCTACCGTTCACTTCAGATCATTCAGCTGTGGCACCCTCAGATAGGGCCGTGGATGACCCCTGGCCAATTCGGGGGGCACAGACTTCCCAGCTATGCCCCTGGACCCTCTATTCACAGTGGTAGTAAATTTTCTTCTCTCGAAGGTTGGGGGGCGCAGCCTCCATTAGGCAGCAGAAGCTCCTTTCTCCGCCCTGTAAAGCACACCGCCTCTGTCGCCCACTCCACCTGCTCCGTTTGGCATCAGACTGGAGATGCTTGACGTTCAGGGACACATGTAGCTGTGGTTCTTGCCGGAACCATGTCTGCCGTGAAGCCGGCGATCTTTTATGCAGGGGAGAAAGGGTTCGTTTGCTCGACATGCTTGTTTGGAAAACACAATTTATTTTAATTTGCTTTCTGTGCCATGTAAGCAGAGAGTACTGCTAGCTCTCGGTCCCCAGCATGCAGATGGCGGACCCGACATTTAAATGTAGTGAGAAGGAGGTGAAGAGGAAGAGTGAAGAGGGAGAGTGGTAGGCTTTAACGCTCCATCTCACTTTCACGCTCTCTGATCCTCCTTGTCTCCCACTTGGTTTTGCATGCAGGAGGATCAGAGGCAACAAAACACGCAAACTGCAGAGTGCATTAGAGGACACACAGGTCATCGGCACACGCCCATGCACTGTATGTTATCCATAAGCCGAACACACGAACATGCATGCACACGCGTGTAGCGGCGAGCAGCCGCATTTGTGATAAGTACAGTGTGCATGGGCCTCCTCTGCTATCTGCACGTATGTGCGTTCACACGTGCACCCGTGTGCCTGTGTTTGCATCTTGACCGATGTCTCTCTGCCTGTACCTGGCAGTCAAAGACAAATGGGAGTGAGGGAGGAGGAGGAGGAGGGAGACAGATTAACAGGGACAGCTCCTTAAGTGGGAACTAAAGCATTTAAGCACTGAAGCTGACTGCCTCCTGCGCCGCTGCTCCTCCGCCCTGTCTCCAATGCCACCTCCACTCCTCTGTGTCTCTCTCCTAATTATCTTCCTATCTACCTGTGTCCTTCCTTCCATACATAATTTCCTCGTCTTATTATCGGAGTCAGCTGGGCCGCTGGCTTCTCTCCATCACGCTGTGAGAGTGGCCCTACTGGGATGGCCGTCAGAAGCAGGTGAGGTGATACAGGGCAGCTGGAGCAACTTTATTATCCCGCTTTCTGTGTGGGGATAGAGGGACATGGCATGGGGTAAAGCCAGGGCTCACTTCTATATTTTTATTATTATTATTATTATTATTATTATTATTTATTCAATCTTTCTATAATTTTGTTTTGACGTTAGCTGCTTATCTGTCTTTGGTTTTATTTTAATCTCATATGTGAAGCACTTTGGGCTGCGTTCCACGTATGAAAAGTGCTTTATAAATAAATGTTATTATTATTATTATTATTATTATTATTATTATATTTATTATTATACACATTAAATCACCCACCCAGGAGGCAGTAACGGAGGTGATGGGTTACCTCTGTGACTGCTGCTTCTGAGTGCCGCACCCCCCCCCCCCCCCTGGAGACAGGGACACCCCAAGACTAATGTCAGACATGTTTGTCTGTAAAACCAAAGGATAAAAAGGGTCAGGTGAGCTTAGGATAGGTGCCCTTCTCCCCCGCCAAGAAAGCTGCCTTATGGGTTCGCGACCTGGGTAGGCTGTGATCCTGCTCCATTCTATCTCTTTCCTAGCACACATTCCACAGGGCGGCCTGTTAGGACCGGCCTCCCTCACACAGCACTGAAAATGTGGCAGATTATCATCACCGTACCAAATGATGGAGATAGGCTGCAGAACAGGCGGCGAGAGGGTGAAGAATGTGGCTGATGCAGCCAAAATGGGGATGGAGCCCTGCGCAAAGTGAATGAAACAGCACAGAGCCGCCGTAACCAGAGTCAGGCACCCTGGGCCAATTTCCCCCTGGACTCTGGAAATAATGGATTCTGCCAGTAGCCGTTGGTCAAATCAAGACCAGCGTTTTATCGATACTGGAACATTTACACAGAATTGAACAGACCTATAAGGTCTTGGGACCAATGCAATAGGACTCTTTTAGTCACTGTGAGACTTCACAATAACCCCCCATCACAGGGGATTTCGGGGTTTCAGTGCACCTGTTAGTGGGAGCTGAGTTCTGCCTTGAGTTTATAGTAACGCTACTTGGACGGGGTGGGCACAAATGTAGTAGTACACTGTTACTTAATGTATTAATTAACCAGAAATTAAGTGTTAGTTATGTGCTATTTCCATTGTCAGTCATTAATCAATTAATACGGTTCATGTATTTCATATCTTACTATGATTTGTTCATGATTTGTACTGAGTTGCTAAGTTACTTGAGTGCCCTCAAGTAAAGTGTTACTGAGTTTATGCAAACAACCCAAAGTTCCGTCTCTATGTGTGATGTAAGAGATGGTCTTCTGTCAGACTCATCTTGGAATTTTGATTAGGAGATAAGGTCAGTGTAGTGCCAGTGGCCCTGGCTGGTATACTGTGTCGACGCACTCTGCACTGTGTAATCTGCGATGACTAATGCTGTAAATGTGTCTCAGCTCACACAATATGACCTTTTCTTAATTATCTCACAGTAGGTACATGTCACCGCAGTGTCCGGACACAATGGGCGCACATCCATTTTAATTATTTGATCAGTCACATGACTATGGCTACATTGTCCCGTGACTGTTCATGGGGGAATCTCCAAAAGGAAAGGAGGGTCAGCGAGGTCCTCTGGTAAGTGACAGCATTTCCATGTCAGACTCCTGTGGCTCTGCTAGTACGGGGTGGGGGGGCTTGATTCGAAGATACCAGCAGTACAGTGAGGTTGAATGGCTCCAGCATCACCTGCTCCGCACCCTCCTCTGGGAGCACACCTCCAGCTGCGGGCCCCCAGTAGCTGCTGGGCGACAGGCAGGAAGATGTTTCACGCTTCCCCCCCCCACTCCCCCGAGGGTGCCGTAATCCGCACAGGCTGTGGATGCTAAAAGGAGGGCAGCTGGATCAGCGCTTCCACCTGGAGGTCTGGAGACTGAAGGGTCGGGGAAGGAGGGGGTAAGGAAGGATAGGGATGGGCAGGCTGTGGGTGACTGGCCAGTGTCCTTCTGCATGCCCGCGTGAATCTGTTACTGCACTGCTGAGAGGTGACGACAGCTTCCTGTTGTCCATCCTGCATGGTGCCGATCTGTCCCAGAATTCCCAGCTTCAGTATCAGCTCCTTGGTCACATTCCAGCCACACTAACACTGGTCTCAACCCATCCCATTGTGTCCAATAGTTTTTTTTTTTTTTAATCTTTGATGTGCTGCCACAATATGCATCATGCAATGCAATTAGCCAGCGAGTGCCTCCACACCAGTCCTCCGCTCCACTCACCCGCACCTTTCCCATCAGCCCCGGCGATCTGCGCAGCTTAAATGTGCATGCGACCCAGGGCAGAAATGCACGCGCGCGTCGGGTGAGACACCACGCCGCAGGAGAGCGGTGACTCCTTAGGGACCACTTTTCTGGAGGGGGGGATAGGGGCTGCTGGCTTACGCTCCCCATTTAATCAGGCTGTGCTCAGTCAGGCTTTGCTGAGGAGTGAGGGGCTGGGGAGCAGCGGTGGGCAGGAATGCTCCTCCATCCTGCCTCCCCACCTCCTCCATCCTGCCTCCCCACCTCCTCCATCCTGCCTTCCCACCTTCTCCATCCTGCCTCCCCACCTTCTCCATCCTCTTTCCCCTGCCCTTCATCACCTTCCCTCTTCCTCTCTTCTTCTCTCTCTCCCCCAGAAAATATACTTTGATTTATTGCTTCTTGTTGGAAAGCTTGGCATTTTAATAACTCAAACCAAGAACAAGGAAGAAAGAGCAGAAAATAAAATAAAACATGCTCGTAAGCACAAAATAAACATGTGTAGAGGTGATTCCTCCCTTTACCCGGCTCTCTGTTGCTTCATATCTTTTAAGATTTCGCTCCCTTTTATTTTTGACTCTCGGATCAGCTGCCGCCGAGCGGAGGTGCTGCTCCTTTGCACTGACGGGTCCTGGAGCGGGTCTGCTGACTCCGCACGACTGCGGTAAATATGCCGGTGCTCAGGAGGAAGGTGTGATGACATGAGAGGGGTTAAGAGATGGATGGAGGGCAGGAGGAAGAAAAGAGACACATCTGAGAGCTCCAAGTGGAGACTGGAGAAGTGAGGGGGAGGGGGACAAAACAGCAGAGATTTTTAAATCCTAAATGAAACCTTTATTTAGACTATAATTATTCACATCGGTCATTAGTGAAAGATATCACTTTTCCTCATTTACTGAAACGACAGTAAGAGGGTGCAGGAGAGTAGAAGAAAAGGTAATCATTAGAAAGATATCACTTTTCCCTTTGTCATTAATGAGGGGAAAAAAAGAAAGACGAAGAAAAGGAACAGACGAAGAGTCAGATAGCTAAGGGCCAGGGGAAAGCTCAATTAAATATAAAAAATAGTTCAACCAACAGGCTTATTTTTTAAAGTATTTCCACAGCACATAGCTAACACGCTGTAGCTAAAAAAAACAGGCTAATATGTTTGTAAAGCTGTAACAACATTTGTTGTGTGTAAAATAAGGCTACCTGGTACACAACATCTCTCCAGATAGCACTCAGAGGGGGGGGGCATGCAGCCATCGCACGAATTTAAGGGTCTACCACTGCTCGAACACTATTATTATTATTTACATCCTTAAAGACAACTAAAGTAAGTGACAGAGACAGACTTTAATTAAAGAACATAAATTGGGATTAAAGCAAAAGATGGAACATTTTCATTTTAATTAAAGTTATTTATTAATTATTTTCAAAGCCGCAGCCTGGGGAATATGCGCGGAAATAACAACAAGCTGGTATTTAATTCCGCAGCAATAACTAATTTAAAAGAATTGTTGAGAGAGAAAAAAACATTGAGTGGGAACAAAAAAATCTGCATTTTCATCACTATCCCATAATCCCCTTACCGCTGGTCCAGCAGTATTTGATGTTCCTCCTGGGAACAATTACTTCATTTTTAGTTCCTATCTGCATCACAGCCTCCCCTCCAAGCAAACATAATTACACACACTCCCAGCCTGCCCTACATCACCCTGGTCATTGGCACCACCTTTTTTTTGCCACCACGCACTCGCCCACCCCTCTATCGTCTCTCCCCTTAATCAGGGTGCTATATTTGGTTTTGAGGAAGAAAGGGAATGCAGTGAATGACAGGGTGACAGGAAAGGGGTGGTAACATTTGGGAGTGGGGAAGAATAGCTGGGAATCAGTTAGCAGGCAATACAGAAGAAAGCGGCAGCGGCAGTGAATGGCAGAGGGACAGCAGTGGAGTGGTGTACATTATGTCATCACTGTCATGGCACTACACTGCATTGTCTTCCCATTGTGCTGTTTGAACAGCTTTGGCAACAATGAGACCTTCCTGTCATGTCAATAAAGCCCATTTGGATTCGACTCGGAGAGGGAGAGACGCACGGAGACGGAGAGAGGCGACAGAAGGAGATATGAATATTTACAGCGGCCCTCATGTTGACTCTGTTGTTCTGAGCAGCAGAACAATCAGTGTACACTAATCGTCACAGTGTGCCGGGAGAGAGAGAGTGAGAAGGAAGGGGGAACGGGGAAGGAGAGAGGGAGGGGCAGGGAAGGGTTGGGGGCCTGAGAAAACGGCCAAACGGGAAAAGCGGGGCCGATCGGCCGTAGGAGTCGGGGAAGGGTGGGAAAAGCAAGCAGCCGACAAGCTCTGAGCCAAACTGACAAAAGTTAATTTAGATGTTTCCTAAATGTCCACCCGCCGTTTCACAAAAGGCTCTCAGCCCCTGTGCCTTTCCTGAGGAAACGTTCCATTGCCCACTTTCACATAAGACAAGATCGTAATCAAAGGCCCCTTGTTTCCTACTGTTACAGAACAAACTCTACCACGGCAAATAATAAACTGCGTGTGCAATCAGGGACTGGACAGAACAAGGAACAGCGCAGCAAAACGCACGGCGGGAGGAGAAATGCGCGGCAAGAAGGCAGCCGGAGCTGGAATGTCACTAGAAAAAGCACACGCATTCAACACGTGATTTGAGAACTGGAGAATAACAGTGGGAATACATTTAGTAATTAAAGAGGGTGATTTCTCTCTTAAAAGAGATACAGACCAATCAGAGGCACAGAACTAAGGGAGGGAGGGTGGGAGAGGAGGGCAAAGAAGGATGTATAAAAAAAAGGCAAATTCATTTTATAAACATGTCTCTATAGTAACCAATGGGTAATTTGCTAGGTAGGAGAGGAAGCAGAATTGTGAGTAAAACAGAGAAGCGTTTACAATCGCTGCTTGAGTCCAGCACTGTAATTACGGAGCAGAGTGCAGGAGATGGAGGGACTTATAGAGAAATACAGGGGAAAGATAAAAATGGACAAGAGAGGAGGACAAAGGAGCACGGCTCCTTTTTTGTGCTTTTGGTGGAGGGAACAGCGGGTGCTTCTTTTGTTTGGCCTTCAAGAACGACGCAGTGGTAAACATTCCTCCTTGTTCGTCCGCGTGGCTCTTTTATTCTTTCGAATGTCGTTTTGTCCCATCTCGCCACGCCACCGGCTTGGCCTCTGGTGAAGGTGACGCAGCCGGACCGCCGGCCTACTCGCACCTTCGGTTTTCCGGTTAAAAACAAAGTCAGACGTGACAAAAACGAGAAAACCAAAATAAATAAGCAAATAGATGGAGGGAGAGGGGTGTACGGGCCTCAAAGATGGCCAGAGAGAGAGAGAGAGAGAGAGAGAGAGCGAGAGAGCTGAATGAAAGGCACCATTAGGGCATCAAACAAGAGAAGTGATGAAGGGGGGGTGTAGTGGGGGGCAGGCAGGAAGAAACGTAAAAGATGGAGGCAAAGAGAATGAGAATCAGCGGCTGAGAGAGAGCGCATGTGCGTGTGAGTTTATTACGGCACGGCGGGTAGCTTGGCGTCGGCCTGTGTCTGCGCAGATAACAGGATTAGCGTCCCCCTGACACACACCGTACAGCGGGGACATGGGGAAAGAGGGAACAGGGGAGGAACAGCGAGGGAGACGCACACAGAAGTGACACTGATAGGGTTGAGGGATTTGTGGAGAGGAGAAGAAGTAGGAGGCGCAGTAAATAAGCGGGGTTTTGGCTGACTGGAGGAGGCGCTACCCAGGCCTGCTCGTCGGCGCTGCTCCCCTGTGCTCCGCTCCATGGCACTGAAGTGAGCCTGCAAACAGAAAGAGAGGCCTTCCAAAGGGGTACACAGGGAAGCTTATGTACATTTAGGGCAAGACGCAAAGACGCATAATCCACACGACAAGGACTGGAGAGCTCTCCCGGCAAGGAGGATCTCTGCTTTTTATTCAGCCTGAGCTTTTAATTAGCAGTAGCTAATTCAGCTGTTTGTTTTCACTGGATGAGTTTAATCCCCTTATTTGCTCTACAGAAGCTAAATTCACACAGATAAATGTGAACGCTGCAGCTACGGGCATGTTTCCCGCCATAACATCATTGCTGTGACTGCTGGTCATTGTTTTTCAGCTGAACGGTGACTTCAAGTTGTGATTTTGAACAAGTGTCTTTTTTTTACATAAATGATCCATGAGGTTTCTCTGGCTGAATAAACAGGAAGCTGTACAGATCTGCACATTCAGAATCAGAATCAGTTACAATTCAGATTACGAATTAAAAAGGTTAAAACAGGTCGTCAAAAGGAAAAACAACAACAATAAACAGAACAGCATCATGTCCACAGCTAGCGCGCTGTCTCAGGTTTATTGAACAAGGCAGAAGACCTCGCCGATTTTGACAGCGTGAATGAACCGATCATCATAAGCCTAAAATTTAGATGCGATAAACACAAGGGAAGAGTCTGAAGGAAACATCACAGGTTAACAGCCAAAAATAATAAGACCTATTGTAAAAAAAAGTGAAGACATGCTCCATCTGGAAAGAAATCACTAAGAAATATTTTCACTGCTGATAACACCAGAGATATACCGCTTTCCAAATTATTGATGATGGTATTACTGAATTAAGAGAGATACATAGCCACTTTATTCAGATCATGCTGTAATGTAACACACACATCGATAGCGATGCAGGACTGCCACCCATGGCGGTAGTACTGATTCCTGCCACTATACCGTCCCAGGAGACTCTCTGCACAGCGGGGCGGATTAATTTATACACAGACAGAAATGGATACACATAGCGCAGATATACATACACTGCTTCAGGAGTTACAAGGGGGGGAAATTATCGAGGAAAGCTACAAGACGGATTTAAGAGAAACAAACTTAATAGAGACTCAGAAACTATAGTGCCATTGTGGTATAAAGATTAGGTAAAACGTTGTAAGAGTTATTTTTATCTGAAACGTAGTAATAAAGGCATGACTAATAATTCAGATCACATACAATGCATAGTAAGAAAGCAATCTGTTAAATAATCATGCGCCGAAGTCAGAATGTGACGCATTCCCTTTGTGCTTTTACCAAATATTTCATGCAGCTAATTTTCAGATGGGAAATGACAGGCAGGAGGATGTATTAATCAGAGAAATGTGATATATTGTTATTCGACTTTCAAAACGAAAAACAAATTATCCTTAAAAATCGTCAGGAGCCAATTCTATATTACTGACGTATATTTGACGTGCAGCGCACCTTGCGAAAGTATGGAATGCGGTCCCGCCCATTCCTTTCAATGATTGGTCCAAAGTTTTCGCGGCCCCGCCCCTTACCACGTCCCTTTCCTGTAGTTCGAGTTGGACTAAAATCAAGAGTAGTTAAACTTCAGGATTATTTGCAGTTATGAGCAGCAGTGATACAATGCAAACTGTGTCATTGATACGACTGCATTAAACTGTCGCTTTGCAGTTTGTTAGTAACTTAATGGACTGTAGGTTTTTTTCATGGTGTTCTGCGAAAATGACAACAAATAGTTGATTTTAGGTGGTTTCAGTTTTGTGAAAAGACTCAGACGCAAAACCGGCGAATGTTTTGGAAAATCAATAGGCACGCTACACTTTGATTTAATTTTTCAGTTTTTTTTTGTGTTTTTCTATAAACTCACTATGCAATCATGCAATTTTTGACTGTTACATTGAGGACAAATGTAGCAGCGCGGATTTAATCTGGTGCCATTTGCAGGGAATTATAACCCAGCGTCTAAAAGGCATCTTCACGGCGCCTCACCTGCCTTTTAATCGGCGCCCCACAGTAAGATAGCGCAGGCAGTCATCGTGCTGAAGGCGCTATGGCTCGGCTATGGTGTGCCGGAGCACCCTCGGTCTGCACGATGGCGGTGTTGGTGCTCCAGGTGGTCTCCACAACACTGGCCCGGAGACACGCCATCTACTGGAACAGCACCAACACAAGGTATGGGACGACATGGGTGGGATGGAATGAAGTCATTCCGATTAATTACCCGCGTGTTTATTATCTCCAGAACATTTCTAATACCATTTCATATGTCACGTTGCGTGCAATGCCACGGAAAAAATGAAGCATTGTTTCGCACTTGTATGAGCGTTTCGTGCGATATAACAGGTATGACTGGTATTCAGGTTTTGGTTTGGGACTGGTTACATGGCAGTCAGATGACTAACACAGGAGCCTGTTTGAGTGGTGCCGCATGTGTCACCGTTTGCCTGATAACCCGAGGGCCTCTGCAAGGACAGTGTTTAAGCGTGGGCGGTGCTGGAAGGGTTAGGCGTTCGCACAGTGAACCCGGCTCCATGCCCTGTCACAGTGCACTCCATCCGCACCCATTTCGGGGTGGGGTGGATTGGGGGTACTGGTTTCTTCGGGTCTTGGTCCGCATCAGCCGTCACATGGTCCCTGTTCTCGTGACTTCGCCGGGTGACTGTGTACTTTGTGAGATCGCTCATTCTCCGCCCACTGAGACCTCTGCAGACCCTTCATGAAAAAAGCCGAAATGCGCTCGTGTTTCGGCTGGATTTGGGGAGCGTCGCATTGCAGCTCTGGGGGGGGGGGGGTGCTTTAGGTCCTTGAGGGCTTGGCGCCCTTTCCGCTTCGTGGATACCTGGTAGCCGATGAGTAATTAATCGCTAGTGATTTGGTGCCACGTCTTTAAAGACCTAGATCAAATCATTGGGTCATTGATGGACTGAAAATCGGCTACCCAGAATGCAATACTATCACATGATGACTTGGATGCGGGATACTGCAGCTGAGGTCGGTGTAAGTGTGCCCCCCCCTCCCATCTGGCAGGAACTTTTCTCACTGTTCCCCGCATCCTCCCTTTTCCCATTCCGTCACACCCTCCCTCCCCTACCATTTCTCAAAAGCCGTGGCCCAAACGGACCCCCCTCCCCATTTCTACACCTTCATCCTCCCCCCTGGGTTGACAGATTTCGCTGCCAAAGCAGTCAGAACAGACTCAAAAGACTTAAAATTCGGGTAAACCGGGAAGCATGTTAAAAAGAAAAAGCACACGCATAAAAACAGGACAGGTCCTTTCATTTTCCTTGCGTTTACCAGCAGAACAAGTCGGAGCACATCTTTTGAATGCTTCGAGGCCGGGGGTGCCAGCCCCTTTCCCGTGGTTACTCCGTCATTTGCCGTCTTCTGTCGGCCTTTGCATGATTTCTCGCCTTCCCCGCTACGTTTGAGTCCTCGATCGCTCTCCGTCTTCCCCACTGGTCTTTAACGACGGCCGTACGCCTGTTAGCCATGCTTTATTGGATGGCTCTTGTACAGATGCCTGCTGTATAAGTATTAATTCCAATCCCGTGCAATTGAAATTTACCACGGCTGAGGAAAAAACCCACGAGTGAATCGGCGAGGAGCTGAGACAGAATTTTGTTTAGAGGAGTAGAATTGCTTTTGTGCGGTGTGGCTATATTTCTAGATTATTTCTTAAATTACACCCCCAGTGAAACGGTAATGCGTAAAAATATATGTGAGCGCCTGCACACGCACAACCATATTTTATGCATGCTGTACAGGATGGCCAGTGCAAACAAACAGGCGAAGCGGCCGATTCTGCCAGGCCGGCGTGTTCTCTGGCGACAGGCTAAAAACCGTAATTTCACTCAGTCAGAAAATCTGCGATTGCACCTCTTAATGTGTCTCACACTTCGGTCAGACTGTTCCAATTTGTAGGAAACCTTCTGCGGTCCCATCCGTTCCGCGGCAAATAATTAACTTTGAAAATCTGAGAACGACAATCAACAAATCCAGTGTGAGATAATTACATTTTTTTGTCCCGCTAACAATGCAAAAAGAGCACAATTGTCTCTTCAGAGCTGGCTGGCCCTGTTTTTCTGCTCCCTGATAGGGTCGCTGGTCCAGCTCATTGTCCTACTCTCTCTATCCATGCAGCTGCCGACGACTCTAGCTCTTTTATTTATCCTGAAATGTTTTGTAGCGCTGCTCTAAGGTTTTATTTTTTTATTCACTCTGCTCTAGTGCCTCCTGCATTGGATGTGATGTATCTGCTTGATATTTTATACATTTAATAAACTTTCATTACTATTGTGTAGCTTTTTGTCTTATGTGCCGGTGTCGGTCCTGGGCTGTGTGATCCTAGTCGCTTCACCATGCTGGCCCGCCGAATCCTTTCGCGTTTCTCTCAACACCCGTCAATCAAAATTCAGAATTAATGGCTCTGTTTTTTTCCTTTTAAAATTAATTAGCTCTATCTCTTACTGTGAAGCGCACATCCTGTTGTGAGCAATTAACTGCAGCTTGTAAAGTCCATCTTTAGTAAGATGATTTCCCTCGAAACTGGAGGGCATGATGACGAATTCGAGTCTGGTTGAAAAGTTTAACCCCACAGTGGTTTTATTTCCTAACGAGCTCGTCTCCGCTCACCTCGGGAGAGGCGTTGACGGCAGGTATCCGGACAACACCGTGATTGGTGGAGACTGGTATGGGCGTGGCCACGGTCACCGCCCTCAATGTCGCATCTAGCCGCAGGCTGAGGGGTGGCTGCCCCCGGGCTGGCGTGCCGTTATTGACGTTGGCAGTGCACCTCCCAGGGCGTTACATTTAAACTGCGCTGAGAGGGCACCACCTGGCCCGTGGGATTGACTTTTCGACTTGGGTGTTTGCTGGGAGGGGGGTAGCCAGGGGCCGATCTTGCTTGTGCTGGCGGCTACTGATTTATGTCAGACTGCAGGCTGAAGTTATGTTTCTTATCACTGTCAACAGCGTGCTCAGATTTACTGCCATCACAGCCTCTGTGTGTGTGTGTGTGTGTGTGTGGGGGTGGGGGGGGGAGGTTAACGAATTGGTGAAGGGACAGAATGTGCGGGGTTAGGTCTGAGCGGCATGGGCCCTGCTCTCAGAGGCGTCGTAGGCCTCTGCTTGGGTGTTAGAGCCACACTGCCCATCCTGCCTACCCCCTCCCCCCCACCACCACCACCACCACCACCGACGGAAAAGGCATTATCGCCATGGCGAGCGGGCCGAGGGATGGAAAACGCATTAGGGAGGGATGATAGGGAGGAGGCTGGCTGGTTTGGGCTCCCAGGCGGCAGGAGAATCTGGGGGTGGATGGGGGGGGGGGGGAGGGAACGGCAGGTTTACAAGATGGCTGACAGCAGGCTGAGGTAAACGGTGCTGGAGACTAGTCCGTACTGCGTAACTGCTAACCAGTAATGCGGTGATTCATCAGGATGTTTATGAATAAAATTTCTGTCAGTTTTTTTTGTTTATGTGTAATATTTGTGTGGGTTGTGTAGGTAGGTTCACTGATGTGTGTGTGTGTGTGTGTGTGTGGGGGGGGGGGGTTGTTTACATTTTCTGTCTTTTGTTCCACATCAGTTTATATTCAAATAAAGTCAGATGTAAAAGAGCACATTCATCAATTGTACGCAGACATTGCACTTGTAATAAAATGAATATTTAGCCATAAAACTATAGCCCTTTCCTGAAAGCAACTTTTAGTGCTTATAAAACAATTCCTTCAAATAACACAATTTCCAATTTGATTTCAGACGCTTTAATTTAAAATTTAACCTATAAAAGAAACCCTCAATGTGCATAATTAGCATTTTCGACTGGAATGGAGAAGGACAGGAAGTTTTTCATTGTTCTCAGGATTGTAAGAGCTGGAACAGTGATTCTCCAGAAAAGATGGAGAGGGCTTTATAATATTAATAAACACTCGCGTCTTATTCTATTACCTATAGGAGAATAAAAAAACATAGAGATTACCCTCCACTCTCCTCCACTGTGCACGGATTGTTATTGCTGCGGTTGGTGTTCCTGTTGCTTCCTGGGTGTGTGTTTTCTGTCGGTGGGGGTCTGCCTCGCGTGATCATCGGGCTGTCAGGCCCCACGCACACACATGTCACTGTGGCTGGGGAGGCACTGGCGTGTGTGGATTCCAGGTGGGTTGATGGGGACGGATACAGGGTGACGAAGGTACGGTCGCAGACAGGATGAGAGATGGGCAGAGAGAGGGAGACGGAGGGAGAGAGATGGGGAAGGGAGAGAGAGAAAGGGCACTTTTGTCCCATGAGATTACAATGCAGTGACCGTGAAAGTGCTTAAATAAACAGTGTGAGAGAGTAGGAGAGGGAGGGAGAGAGGGATGGGGATGGCGAGAAACGAAAGGAAAGGGGTGTGAGCGAAGGGGTGCATAACCGGGGTGGGGTGGACGGCGAGGGGGGCTTTCGATGGAGAGGCCCCCCTCCCGCCCTTAAATAATTTAGCCTCTCTTCGTGCTCCGGGTCTCCCGGCGCTGACATCCCCTAACAAGCGGCCCC